TATCTATCTATCTATCTATCTATCTATCTATCTATCTATCTATCTATCTATCTATCTATCTATCTATCTATCTATCTATCTATCTATCTATCTATCTATCTATCTATCTATCTATCTATCTATCTATCTATCTATCTGGCGGTCCAAACAGCCCCGGGACGCCCCCAAAAAGTCCTGCTGACCGCTGTACACCAGGTAGCACTTGTAGCCGATACGCACGCCCTTCTGACAGCCTGGAGAAGACACCAGAGTCAGGAATACGTAGTTTCAGGAAATAGTTTTTCTTGCCAACTCCAGAAATAAAACAACAGCATATACATACATACATGTCAATACATATATGCATATACATATATACATATATATTTGTCATTCCTGCCAGTGGTCATAAATCTCTACAAGGCAACAGCAACAATAACTGACGATCGTCAACACAAACACGTATGGGATTCCGTCACACTAAGCAAATACTTTTTCCTCGACCCCAGGCAACAAGGATTGTTTACTTTTGATCGGCCCCTGGCAACTATCCAGTTAGGATTGGGGTTAGGGTCAGGGTTAGGGTTAGGTTTAGGGTTAGGGTCAGGGTTAGGGTCAGGTTTAGGGTTATGGTCAGGGTCAGGATTAGGACATCGTTTATCTTCCGATTTCGTATTGACAGTAAATTTTGTTTCCACCACAGAAAGCTGCTAGTCACATGATGTAATCAAAATGGCCGACTTGGATATGGGAGAAGCTGGATATCCGACCGAGGCTCCTACAGGCTGCAGCCAGAGGATACTCCCTGATTCTGAGCATGAAAACATCCGAAACCTCCGGGACCAGATTCTGTTTGTAAACAACGTCCAGTTTGTGCCACAAGATGTCCTCCATGTTATAAACTGACCTGTTTACGCCTCAGTAGCTCTGTTTTTAGTCTCAGACTCTGATATCCTAAAGGCTCCTCTGTGTTCTCCGGCCAAACGGCTCATTTCCAGACGATTCATCAGAGCTTTTTCCCTCTAAAACGGCCGTCTGTGCGGCTGGAAGCGGAGTTGATTAAAGCAAATAAACCCTTTCTAGGCACAGAAAGGAAAACAAACCTGCTGAAACTCGCCACCCAGGAGGCTCCCGAACGCTTTATTGTGGCAACCGAACCGCGAGGCTGTTTGGAAACCACGACAGAGGGGGTTTTTTTTCGGTAAAATTCCACTCCTCTCTGATAAGAGCCCCTCGTTTGCATATTAACACGACTCCTGTTTACCAGCTCCAACGTGTCGCCTCATGACCCTCATCGTCTGGGAGCATGCAAATCACAAAATCCCTCCCATCTAACAACTCGTTTATCAGTTTATGAGAGGAAAGATTAAGAAATGATGATCGCAGCATCTGTTTGATTTGATTTAGTTTCTTTCTTCTGGGCTGAAACGATGAAGACCAGTAGATTCTGCCAGCTTTGCATTCTGATAGAAACGAGGGAAAAGCTTTAAAGGAGACATGTTATACCCTGTTTCAACAAGTTAAGCTAGTTCCCTGGTGTCCTAATGTAATGTCTGTGACAAGCTTGGGTCAAAATCCCATAAGGATGAAGCCCAATAGCAGTTCAGTCCCCCTGCCTAACCCTAACCCTAACCCTAACCCTAACCCTGCCAAAACAGCCCCGTTCAGAGCGCTCGCTTTGGAGTGCCTGTCTCTTTAAATGCAAATGAGACACAGCCAATCCACCCACTTCTTCAGGGAGGTGTGCCCACGTTGGCACGCTAACGCTACCATGCTAACGCTACCATGCTAACGCTCACGCTACCAGGACGTCTCCACAGATAGGGGAGTAAGCTGAGGGGGGGGGCAACATGCAGGTGAAAGGCTGGAATATTATAATGAGCTAGAGCTAATGACGTCAGAAACTACCCACTCCTGAAACCTCCTGATTTATCTCCTGGATTCAGACTGAGGCAGCCCACAAAAACATGACTGAGTCATTTTCCACAGTCCCAAATGTACACAATCAGATGATTAAAAACTCGGTTTTACATAATATGTCCCCTTTAAAAAGCTGTTTTTTTTACCTTCCAGTCGTCCGACCTCCTTGCGGTTGTCCTTACTGTGCTGGTGGACCTCCCGGATGTTGTCCTCCAGCTCGCCCACCTTGGCTGGAACATGAGAGGGTGTCAGGAGGGTGGAGCTTAGGGAGGACTCAGGCGCAGAGAGGTGGTTAGTTCCAGGAGTTTATTGAACAGAAAACGCACTCTCAGAGTGGAGACAAAGTACCAAAACAATAAACAAGACTATGGACAAAGTATAAAAAAATAATCACTCTAATGAGGAAGACAAAGCTGTGAACAAAGTATCAAAACAATAAACAAGACTATGGGCAAGGTACAAAGTAACAAAGAAATACTCACTAGGAATGGACGTCTAGGAGGAAAACACAAAGGCACTCAAAGGAGGCAAAAAGTCAGGAGGCACAAAGGTGGGGAACGGGATCAAAGGCAAGGTTTTAAGTATGACAAGAGATAACTGTGGGTTAGGGTTAGGGTTAGGGTTAGGGTTAGGGTTTGTGGTCATGGAACGCAATACACTGGCACGGGACAAGGGGAAACGAGGACTATTTAAACACGAGAGGGAAAGGATCCCCAGGTGTACACAAGGAAGTGCAAGTGACCTGAAACAAGGGGATGCATCTTTCAAAATAAAACAGGAAATGACACGACAACATGGAGACGAGACAAAAACACCAACATTTCCCCCACACGTGACAGAGGGGAGATGGAAGAGCGGATTCAGGCTGATGGGAAAAACGAGGGGTCAGAGGAACTTACCGTCCATCTTTGAGAGGCGATCCATCAGTTGGCTGACTTTAACGTCCAGAGTATAATGGCCCACGCTCAGCTTGTGGATGGCCTGGTCCAGGCCGGCCAGCCTGGACACAAAGAAGAGGGGGGGGGGGGGGGTGAACGTTCACAGAACCACGGAAAACCTCATCCAGCCCTTTTCATTCAGAACATTTGAAAATGATCTAAATCAGTGTTTTTCAACCACTGTGCCTCGGTACACTAGTGTGCCGTGAGTGACCATCAGGTGTGCTGTAGAAAATCATCCTATTTCACCTAATTGGTCTAAAAAGACTTTTTGATAAGTAATTAATTATCTGCAAATAATATTCAATTTTTGAGTGTCTGTGCTGTAATAGTGACTGGTGGCGTAATCATGTAATAATTCCTTATGACTAGATTTTGTATATAATTTTGTATATTGAAGTGGACATGTTCAGTGCAATTTGAAAGAAGAAATATAAAATATGATAAACATACATTTTTGTGTTTATTTGATTCCTATTCAAGACACTTAAGATAAGATAAGAATAAAATAAGAATAACTACAGTGTTACTATAGGCGGATACAGATTTGTACGGGACTTAACATTTTTGGTTGGTGGTGTGAGTCGGGATTTTTTCAATGAAAAAATGTACAAATTAGGTGAAATAGGATGATTTTCTACGGCACACTAGTGTACCGAGGCACAGTGGTTGAAAAACACTGATCTAAACATATTAATTTTCCAACATACGAAGTGAAATTTGATGTAAATTCCAACATCACGTCGAAGTAATAGAAAAACCTGTCAAAACAATGTGACAAATGTACGTGAGGTGGCTTACAGACGTAGTTGTAAGAGTTCTCAAAGTCCGACGTCTGGCTGGTCGGCTCGGATTCGGGTTCCGGAAAAATATCTGGAACGTCTCCTCTGGCCTTTTTCACCTCCGGCACAGATGCCTGGCAAAGGCAAACACACACACACACACACACACACACACACACACACACAC